CTCGGGGTTCTAGAGCATGTAGGTGGATTCTGGTGCACAGCTAAACTTCATCGTAGTGTGCGGAACATCAGGATCCAAGCTTACTGGGGTTAAGAAATCCCAGGGAAATTTCATGTTTCCCTAATGAATTTAGCTTAGATTTCACAAAATCAATAAATCATCTTTCAGAGAAATTTCCTATCTTGATCCTCTCCTTGTGGTCTATGGAGTAAGGGCTATGAGTGCCAGGCCTGGAGTCAGTAAGACCCGAGTTCTAATCCTGCTTCTGATACCAGCTCTGTGACCCTCAGCAAAACACTCAGCCTGTTCCCCATCTGTAAAATGGGTATGAGAATAACAGCACCTCCTCTACAGGGCTGTTGTGAAGCTCAAATGCCATAAACAGGTAAACGCTAGCTCTTATTATTCCTGTTACTAAAGAGCCAAGAGCGAAGCATTTTTCTTTGTCCATTTTCAAGTACCCTTCAGCTTGGACAGCTCCTGCTCCTTCTCTTGCTGAAGCTGGAGGTATCTCTGCTTGTGGTCACTAAAGGTCCGGCTGAAGTCATCGCCCTGCTTCCGGTGTTCCTCCTCTAGGTCACTGTGCTGCTTCTTCAGCTCCTCGTGCTGACTCTGCAAAGACCAAAACGGACCCACCACAGAACGTGGCATGTGGAGAACGGGGGAGAGGGCTCGGAGGGTGCAGCCAACACCTCCCGAATCCAACCCTGGGGAGCACAGTCATGTGTGAGGTTCTCTCCTTCCGCCCATTTTTTCTCCTACACATCTCTGAAGCAGACAGATGGGTTGGGATGCAGGCCAAGGGACAATCGACATACTCTTTGCTAAATCTTTGAAGCTCGAAGGGGGTGACTGGAAAAAGGGGAAAACCACTGAGACGCATGGGGTCCCAGATAACTGTCAATAATATATACAAATAAATATATATATGTATGTACGTATATACACATATACATACACACACATATATGCAAATGTATATATACACACATATACATACACACACATATAAAATGAAGCCTCAGTGCCCTCAGGCTCCCTCCATGTCCCATACGCCCTCCACTACCTTTCTAATCCCATTCTCGAATTCTCCTCCCCGGTCTCCTGCTTTGCTGGGCACCCCAAATAAATGTCAAGGATGCTTGCCTTGGGCTTCACTTTCACTGGCAACACTGATATGTCCCACGTGTCTAAGAGAGCCTTTGGTGCCAGCCCTGATATTTACTGTCCCATGCTCTCAGCTGAGGTTAATCCCATTACATTCAGCAATCCTCCGTGAAAGAATGCTGTGACTTAATCCACCTGATACACCCTCAGGAAGCAGACAAGTTTTCAGCTGCAATAAAGCGTTTTTGTACTTCTCCTCCAATGCTCATCATTCAGATGAGGAGGAGACACAGATCTAATAGGTGCAATTCATGGTTTGTGGATCACTAAGAATGTCCTTTGGTGGGAAAAAGGTCACTTCTACTGGTTGGATAAAAAAAAAAAAA